TTTAACTTGTAAAAACCAAATTACTAAGTAGTCAAAAACTTACCATGTAAACTGAACAGGATTTCTAATTTAAAAAAATACTACAATATTATAAATATAACAAATATTCAAACTTTAATGATTTTTAACGTACTTTGCAACCAAATTCTGGTTATCACCTCGAATTCAAAAAGGGAATTAAAAAGAGAAAGATGAAAAAAATTAAGAATACAATAACCTAAGGAATTATAATAACAGAGAGAAGTTAAAAACATTCCCACACAAAAATTCTAAAAAACATTTCTAACTATATGATTTAGGTATCAATGTAAAATTTTAAGGAAAAAAATTCAAAAGAATACTATTACTAGCACACCAGTAATTAGTATTGGTAATTCATTAGGCTGTAAGTAAAGGATGGAAAGAATACATCCTCTTTAATCTCCCAGAGCAACAAAATTAATGTCTGAATCAATAGGTACTTAGGAACTTATTGATTTTATATAAATGATATTTGTCAGAATACCTATAGGGCATCCTTGACTAACCATAAGAAAACTAGTAGTTAGGCTAAGTCTCTGACAAAATTGAGATGATTATTTGTAGGTCTTTGAATCTCAAATGAACGACATTCTCTCAGGCAGTCCTCCATGTATAAATCAAAATATGAAGAAAGACCTAAGAATAAATATTAACTTGTTTTTATCAACTTGCCAAGACAATTATAACAATTTTGGAACACTATACATTTTAACATATGTCAAAACTGCAATAACCACTAGGATTAATGTGGGGGCATGAAAGCATCTTCTCAGTCACTCTAAGCCAGTAAGAATCACTTCATTTTTTTTCTGTTCTCAAAAGTTAATAATAAAAACCCCAGGATGCTGGTCAGATTCCAGTGGTACTAAAACGCAAATTAAGAGAGAATTGTCAATTGCCATACTTCACTCTAAAATGTATCAGTTTGTAAGACCATAGGTTTTTGTTTTTGTTTTTTTTTTTAATAAATGGGAAAGTGACTGCATTATCCCACTGCATTTAAAATAGAATCATTTTCTTTTTTTGGTAGCAGTCATATTTTATTAATATTTTCTTGGAACATGGTGAACCCTTTCCTTCTATGATTCCAGGCTTTCATTTCTAGAAAAAAAATTTTTATATATTTAATTATAAAAAAAACTTAATTATAAAAACTTTTTGACTAGTTCACAAAACTGCACTGGAAACTATTCAATGAAATATTATGCATACATTCTGATAGTTGCAAAGAATACATTGTATGTGGAAAAATAATGTGACAGAGACTAATTGTCCTCCAATACCCATTTCCCCCTTCTTCCTTTAGTAACAGAACCCCACACTTTAGGTGGATACATGGCTCTCCTGCTAATGATTACATTTTCCAATCTTCCCAGGTATTGTTCTGGCCAATGGGATTTGAGTAGGAATAATTTATATATCTTTCAGACTGTTTTTTCAAGGACAGGAATGTATTCCTTTCCCTCTTCCCCTGGTTAAAATGTAGAAGTGATGGTGGGACCTGGAGCTATCAGACTGGAGAGAGAAAAGCTTTGAGTTAAGGACGACAGAGCAGGAAGATAGAAGGAATCTCAGTCTCGACAACATTGTGGACTTCATGGAAAAGAGCTGTCATAACAGCTGAGAAAGTAAGTGCAACTCTATTTGTAACAGCAAACACATATAAGTAAAAGGATACAGAGTTGGCTCTACAATATCATTACACCTATGTCAGAAGTTCAAAATATTATAAACAGGAAATAAATTTACCAGTAACATCTGTACAGTTGTCATCTGAATCAGACTCCCCAGGATCAAATACTTGGATTCCCTGAGCCTGTAGCCTTTGAAGTTTGCTCTCCAACTCTCGCTTGGCCCTCAATAAGTCCTGAATTTCATTTTCCTTGGTCTCCCTAAAAATCTTTAAAGAAGAATTTAAATTTTGAAACCTTTTCTACAATAAAAAAGTTGTCATCAACTTTTAAGGGAAAAGTCTTTCATTCGTCAAACCAATATTCATTTGATCCTTGATCACCTCTTTTGTAGGATGAATAATCTGAGTACTTCTGCCTCACTGTTATGTAACTGGAACCCAGTGGAAGTCTGCGTGCTGTGGTGTGGGGCTGTCTGTGCACTGCATAATGTTTAGCAAATTTGTTCCTCCTCCTCTAAATAACAGTAATGCCCTCCCATATAAAACACCTCCAAACATTTTCAAATACCTTCTCCCATACAGAAACACTGTTTTTTTTTCCAAAATCCTTATTAAAATGTTCACTTTTACACTTTTTCGTCAAAATTATCTGAAGTCTACCAGGTTCAACTCATAAATGTAAAAGTGCTCCACTCTAGTTTTTATAACCTTCATGACTCCTACATCACTTTCTTCTATTTATTACTTCTATTTATCCATCGCAGCATTATATGAACATGGACAATATACTGTTTTTATTCCTTATCATTTTGGGGGTAAAAATATAAGGAATACCTTGAATTGCCTTTTAACTTTATCTCTGTCATGTTCAAATGTAGCTGCTCTCTCCATTGCTTGGTATTTGGCTTCCAAAGCACTTTCCTTTTCCCGAAGTATCTTCTGGTAAGTTTTTTGAAGTGCCTGGAATAATTTACCTCGTTATTTCTAATAAAAATAGTAGTCTTCTCAAATTTTATATTATCTTACATACATATTACATATCTTAGAATTTTAACAATTTACTTACTATTTTACCAGTTATCTAGAACTGCATATTACCATTTTATTCAAACACAATTAAAAATGCAAACATGCCTGAAATATAATAAATGAAGATATTTCAACATTAAGCATTCGATGGAAATTAATACTTTTTCTTTACTCCACCAACTCTTAATCTTCCCTACATCTCACTTTCCCCATCTTTAAAAGAACAAAAGGAACAATTTGTAAGCTTAATTAGAATAATAATTCTGGGAAACAGTGCTCTCTTTGCCTCCATGTCTTACTCATGGTGTTATCCACAGGCCTCCTCCAATTAATGTCTGACTGAATGGATTAATAAATACGGAAAAATTTTTTTTAATGTCTAGATACATGAAAAAAAAAATCAAAAGGATTACATAAGTAATCAGGACTGGTAACAGCAAGAACCTGAGACTATGCTATTTGTCAACCCTTACAGTACTTCTGCCTGATTGGTCCAGACTTCTTTTCTACCTTCACCTCACAGTCATTTCCAATGTGCAGTGTCCACTAGACAGTTGCCTGGATGCATGAAATCAGATATCTGAAATACATAAGTGCATTTTATACAGGCAAGTGCATATTGCCTGCCTGGTAAACTATTAAGAACAGACTGCTAATAAGTATGTCTTCCCAGATATTAACGCCAATTATACAACAGCTAATGGTGGTGGTGGTGGTGGCGGCGGCGGCTAGAATCCCTAGCCTAGAAGGAAGAAAAGGAAGAAGGCTTTTTCTTTTTAGAAAAATCAGTCTGAAGTATTTATTCAGTTTCTGCTCTGATGAGCCTAGGAACATCTGGGGTGTCTAGAAGTCTCTTCCATAGTGAAGAAAAGAGAATAAACAAATCACAACCCTCAGTGGCACAAAGTCTCACAACCTTGCCCACAGAAAAGCAATTCTTTGCTTTATGTACTATTTTAATGAGTCAAAATAGATCTACTACAGGGAGGGCAGGCAATAATTGTGGGGTTTTTTTGAGTAAATTAATCAAATGTATTAAGGGAAGGGAATTTGACTACGCCTCAACCACAACAGTTAAGATGGTGCAAATCAGGGGCTTCCACTTCAGGGTCATTAAAATCTAAGAGCTATGGAACTTTACAAAGAAACTGAGACATGTGCCCCACCTTGAAGGTGTGTATAATTTGAGGGGGCTGGGGAGTTTGTTAACTCCTACGAAGAGTTTGATGAGCTGCTTCAACAGATGTTACAAAAGTCTTTTGTGTGTATGTGTGCCCTGCCGGTGTGAATCTACGTCCCTGAGCCCTGGAGACTGGCATTCGCTGCTTCAGGACACTTTCAGGCTAACTGTTTCAAGGTGTCTGAATGAATGAACCAGAAATAAAAAAGGGGAGGCGTTAGTTAGGATAGCAGTTTAGACCCAACAAAATGTCCTCTCAAATTAAAACGCAGAAAAGTTTCTGCTCAACTCTCAAAACTACTTGATTTGGAGAGGAGGCAGAATGGATGAGAGACGGGGTGAGGCATCCAGAGTTCAGCTTGGCAGTGTCGCCAAAAGGCTACGCGGCCATGGGTGGGACGCCCCGGGGCCCAGTTTCCCGGGCGTCGCGGCCGCCCTCGGTGCGCGCCCAGGCCCGGCGTTACCTGCAGCTCTGCCCGCAGCCGCTTGTTCTCCGTGTCCAGCTTGGCCTCGCGGCGGCCCATGGACAGCAATTCCTGGTTCTTGCTGACCCGGAAGATCTCGTACTCCTTCTTCAGCCGCTCGTACTCGGCCACCGCGTACTCCAGCTCCGGCACTGATGAACCGGTTGACTTGAAGCTGGCCCCCAGCAGCCCGCCGCCGCCCGCCCCTCGAGGCA